AGGAGACGGAAGCCAAGAGCAAGAAGTAAGAACATCTAGCTAAGATAGAAATAGCAGGGAGCTAACCACTAACTCTCTTACTGAGGCAGCATGATAAAGGAATGTAACGGTATTAGTTTATAATAGGAAAGTAGGATCTGGGATTGCCTCAGGAGAATTGATGCTGCTTGCTGGGGTTGGTGGTGGTGGTGGTGTAGGGTGTCTTTAAAATTTCTGATACCTATAAAACACCAAAGCATAAACAAATTTTAAGATGGTCATATGATTCTAAGATTGAGATAAACTGAGTGAGTTTGAAAGAATCAGAAAAGCAGGCTTATATCAAGTGAGGCTTCACTTAAATGGCAATCATATTTGGATGCAGGTTATTCTTTAGACCTCATTCTATTTTTAATTTGTAAAACAATAACATAATAGTAATATTTACAGTGTCATCTAGTGTAACAAACTCCAACCTTACATCACCTCTACTCTCCAGCTCTTCCACTCCTGCTTTTGTAGTGATCTCTGCCATTCCCCAACAACACTATTCTATTTCTTTCAATTTTATTTTTATTTTTAATCCTCACCTGAGGATATATTTTTATTGATTTAAGAGAGGAAGAAAGAGAGAGAGAAACATCGATGTTAAGGGACTTAATTTGGCTTACAATAGTTCAATATCTTCAATTTACAAATGAGGGAACTGAGGTACAGATAAATGAGGTGTTTGGCGCAAGCTAACAGATTATGTTAGAGCAGAATCAAGAACTCAAGTCTACTTCATTGCTCTTTCCACACTATGACATACTGCCCCTCTCTGAATAAAGCAATAACACATTTTCATTTCTTATCAGCATGATGCTCTGGCTTTCAAGCTCTCCATACTTTGTCTTATTCATATTATCTTGCCTCTCCAAGTTTATTTCACAGAAGTCTGGATCTTTTTTCTATCCTCAGCCAATCCAGGATCCAGCAAACCCAGCATTTGGATGCCAACAACAAAACTGCTAAGAGCAGCCCTACCTGACCTTGTTCCTTTTTTTTTTTTTTTTAAATAGAGCTTTTGGCTGTTATTAGCAAATTTCCCAGAATTTATTGTATATCATGCTAGTACCATCTCTTGGAAGTTATGAGTTCCACATTTATTATTTAACAAGTGAACCTCTTTTGATTTATCTTAACTTAGGCATGCTTGTATTTCAATGATTTCCTCATATTCACATCATGGTCCACAAGTCCCAAGCTACCATTTACAGTCTGCCATGTTTACTGTGTTCCCTACAGCTGTGTAGCATGTCCTCTGATTTGGAAATCTGATTTGATATACAAGTCTGGGGTCACCTTAACCTTGTCTTTCCTAAGTATATGAGAGTCTTCATTTTTTCAGAGTAAAGTGTCAGAATACTCCCACATCATTTTCACCTATCTACTTGTCCTTCCTACTTCTGATTTCATTATAACATGTCCAGGGACTCAAAGGATAAAAGGGCTCTGAGGGGTGGGAGGAATGCACCATAGTTTTCAGTATAAGATCAGGGCTATGTTTTTGTCCTATTTCTGTTGCCATTCCTGATGATGCTCAACATTGACTTGTCTTATCCCAATAGACCTCATAGGGAGGATTAGGCTCTAGTTGAGAAGCACTCTTGACTATAAGGCAGGATTCTGACTCGTCATATGATCCTGGGCAAATATTAATCTAACAAAACTCATGTGTGAAGAATAGTACTGAATACTGGGATATAGAAACACACGAGTCACACACCCTGCCCTCAGAGAGCTCATAGGCTAGTGGAAGAGCCTAATATGAACATCAATGATTAAAACAGGGTATGATAAATGTCAATAAGTCTGCACTAGATATTGGTGACTAGAAACTTCTAGATGAGGAGTTTAACCCTTCTGAAGGTAGGAGAAGGAGGTTGGAAAATACTTCCCAAAGGGTTATGATATTTGAACAGAGACATGAGGAAACCTGGTTTGTCCATTGCTTTATTCTATCTCCCAGAACTACTTTATAGTACAGAGAAGCTACTTAATAAACATCTGCCCACTGATGAGAGCAAGGAGGGAGTTCTTTGTGGCTATGACTACTGGTACAGTACTTAGACAATGGTGTGCAGGTATGAGAGAACATAGTGAATTCAGGGAACTATGAGTAAATGTGGTGGGCTAGAGGGGACAAAGGGAGAGTGGTTGGGCCTAAGGCTGAATATACACTGAGTGGCCAGATTATTATGGTCTCTGAATGCGTAATAATTTGGCCACTCAGTGTATATCCTATATAATAAAAGGCTAATATGCAAATTGTTCCCTTCGACCAGCAGGCAGGCAGGCCAAGCGCCTATGTCCCCTACCTCTGGCCAGGTTGGCTGGACCACACCCATGCACGAATTCATGCACCAAGCCTCTAATATATATACATACATACTGAGTGGCCAGATTATTATGCGTTCAGAGAGCATATAATAATATGGCCACTCAGTATATAGCCCAAGATCAGAATATAAAATATTCCCTGGTAATGCTTTTGAACTTTATATTAAATGCAATAGGGTGTGACTAGAGAATTTAAGCACTAGTCATACAATCAGATTTTGGTGTTATCTTGATGCTCCAAATCCACCCTGCATTGCCTCCTCAGCAAAAACAGAACTAAACCCTTAAAATATTTCTCATTTTGTCAGTGGCCATACTGTACAGCTTCCTCAGGAGAGGGTGCTGGAGGGATCCGGAGGAGGAAGGGGTTTCTCTGTGGGTGCCACAGATGTATCTTTTTGCTAGGTGCGGGAGTGTGCAGCTTCTCCTGTGCTGGGATCCCATAGTGCCTGATTCTCCAGCATCTACAGTATGTGACCTAGTCAATGCCTGACAGCAGTTCCTAGCTTCCCCTGGCATTTCCCTCTCTGGGGAAGCTTCGCAGCAGAGTGCAGCCAGTGAGTCTGTCACTTTTCATGAATGGCTTCTCTGGCGTCCCAGACAGATTTTTGTCTCCCTGGCATCTCAGCAATTTCTCTACCATCCAGTGAGATGTGGGCACACCCTCTGCAACAAGTTCTTAGGAGGCTCTTTCTCTGAGTAATCCATCTCGAGGATTGTGGTTGCTTCTTGTATCTCTGCTTTAAATCTCTTTATGTCTTGCCAATCTTCCATTACTCCAATCCCATTATAGTTAAAAAATTTTTTATATTACCCTCTGTTTGTTAGACTTGTATTATTTATTCCTCTTCATTGGACTCTGAAATATGAGTTGATTGACAGCTGTGTAGATGGGCTAAAGGGAGTGGACTGAAGGATAATATGGCAGCACTTTTGGCAACCACTCTTGAGCATCATTGCCTTGAAAAGCAGTTACAGTGGGAAGGGATAGGAGAGACAGGAGCTACAGGATTTGGTAATCACTGAGGGAGGAGGAGGAGGAGAGAGAATAATTTAGGGTGACTCCCCACTTTTCAATCGTGGGTGACTGGGTAGATCACATGTGTCAAACACAAGGCCCGCGGGCCAAATCCGTCCCGCCAGGCCTTGCAATGTGGCCCGCACCGCGCTGTCATCACTGCACTCCGCTGCATTTCCATCACAATGACAGTTTATGACTGTTCAGTAAACCATTCGGCCCGCGATTTAGGCTGGATTTTAGATTTTGGCCCCTACTCTGATTGAGTTCGACACCCCTAGGGTAGATGGTGGATCACAGCAGAAATGGAGAGGACTGAAGGAGGGACAGGTCCAATTGTTTCATGCTCCATATACTCGAATTAGAGTCATAGGCTCTTTAGGCTGGAGAGGCCACAAAGCCCAACCTTTATGCCTCTGAGTAATATGGATCATTTCTTCACATCGGATAAAGGAAGTGGAGAAAGGCTCATTTCACCTTACTGTTCCACGATTGTGATATTTTTGTAACATTTTTTCCCATTCTTAAAGCTGTCCGTATGGCAGGCCCTCCTCAATGATCCATTCTAGTCCCCTTACCCCCAGCTCTTTAAAATTAAACAGATTTCCCTTTTTAAAAAACTCATATGCTTCCCAATGTGGAATTGTGGCCAACACATACTTTCTCAGTGCTGAAGGAAATAGGTCTTATCCTATATGGAATAGGGATGGTTCTGGAATCTCTCATTTTGTTTTATTGGTGTGGACTGAACAGGGCTTCGGTTATATAAATGAGGTCTCCAGTTACATGAATGAGAGGATCCAGACACCACAACCCCCAGAGGTAAGTTTCTATGAACAGCTCTTGGACCCCAAGATCAGGCAACTGTGGGTACTTGTCTGAGTTTGGAATGGGAGGTGGTGAGTTTTGTACATACAGATACATGGTTACCTTTGCTTGGGATGCACTCCCCACCTTTCCACCCATTCTTCAGATCTCAGCTCAGCTCTCTCTGAGCTGTTAGTTTCATTATATTTTCTCAGAGCACCACTTTACCCAACTCTCACTGCCAGCACTTAGCTCTAATTTTACACTATTTGCATGATCATTTGATTAACACCTGTCTCTCCCGATGGACTGTAAACTCGAGGGCAGGAACGATCAGTTTCTGTTCACTGTAGAATTCCCACTACCTAGCCTGGTGACTGGGATACTCAGTGCTCGAGAAATATTAGGAAAATGGATCAATGATAGCCAATTATAAAGTGCTAGTCAGACTCGTTGGTCCTCATGACAACCACTCCCTAGGTATTCTTATATCCATGTTACAGAAGAAAAATAAGAGGTTTGGTTAGTCAGTAGGGTTGGGGGCTCTGGTCTCAGAATATGTTGTGTTCCCAAATCACTATCCTCTGTGTAAGAAATCATAAAATGGTAGTTCTAGGTATAAAAACATAGCTATAGGATAGACAGAGGGCAAGAATCACCCATGGTCATATTCTCTTAAAGATCATAGTCCCTTCCTCTTGCTCTGTAGACAGAATTCAGGTGGGCTCATGGGCAGGACTCTTCCCTCAGACCCAGGCAGCCATCGGGAGCTGGTCCCGGCCCTCTCCCTCCACCTCCCCTTCGGGGCTGGTACCTGAGGTTCGCTCCCAAACAAGCTGACGGGCACCAGGCTGGGAGTGTGGGGAGTGTCAGGGCCTGGCGCCCTTGGAGAGGGAAAGCAGCAGAACTTGGGTGGGTTAAGGCCGTACTGGGCCTCGGCTCGGAGAGAAAGGAGAGGTGGAGCAAGACGGGGCTTTGTTAGCGCGCAGCCTTCGCCTGGCAACCCTGACGCCGGTTACGCTGCCGTGGCAACAGCGGCGGAGGGGCGGGGCTCTGCGTCACAGACCCCGCCCCGCCCACCGCCTGGCTCCGCCCCCTGGGCCCAACCGCCTGCAATGCGGCGGCGTCAGGGTTCCCAAAGTCCTGCCAGGACGAGGCTGGGAGGCTGAAAACAGCTTTGAGAGGGGAGTGTGTGTGTGTGTGTGTGGTGGGGTGCTGGTTTAAGGACGGGGCCTGGGCGTTAAGAAACCTGGGGGGATGTGTGTCAACTTACAGCGGGATTTTGTACATTAGGGAGCAGAAGTGTGCCGGAAGCCAATCGTTTTATTTTTTATTTTATTTTTAATTTAATTTTTAATTTTTTTTATTGATTATGGTATCACAGAATTGTCCTCATCCCCCCATTCCTATCTGAAACCGCTCCCCACATATGCCCTCATCCCCCTGTTGTCCATGGCCACTGGCTAGGCCCATATGTGTGCACACAAGTCCTTTGGTTGATCTTTTCCCCTTATCCCCACACTCTCCTACTTTCCCTCTGAGGTTTGAGAGTCTGATCTCTGCTTCTCTTTCTCTGGATCTGTTTTTGTTCATCAGTTTATGTTGTTCATTATTTCCTCTAGATGTGTGAGATCATGTGATATACCCTTGTAAAAACTGAAATCATGTGATATACAAGAAATACCCTTGTAAAAACCGAAACTGACACAGCCGTAATGGTTATGCTGAGAGGCCAATGAATCAGTCTGTAGTGAGTTCCTTTCTGAGCCACCAGTTCTTTTGAGTCCCAATTTTAAAGTTAAAGAGTTCCTTATGTGTACATGTCAGCCATGATATTTCAGATCTGGTTGGTGGACAAATGGTGGTGATGCAGGTCCAACTGTCTCTGATTTGGTCCTGGGCATCCTTCAGCAACAAGCAGCTGCTGTCTGCTGGTATGGCGAGGTGTCATCAGCATCTTCCATCTCTGAATTGTTTCTCTTCTGTCTTCATGGCTGGAGCACTTCTGTCTATTCCTCTCTCTGTTGCAGAAATCCGGATGGTCTCAGAGTTGTTTTCTGAAAACATATAAAAATTCTCGACCAAAAGTTAATAAAGGGATATTTTCTATAAATTTGACTTGAGATCCTTTTTCATTTTTCCTCCCTCCAAATGATTTTCCTCTGGCTTGTTTTGACACCATGTGCATATATCTTGCTGTTAGCATTTTGAATGGAGGTTAATTTCCTAAAGTACAAATTTTTTAGATGTAATTTACTCGCAGAATATTTTTCCTTACATGATATTCTTCCACTGTCACCCCCTTTTTTAATTGAAATAATAGGAGGCTTTTATGTAATGAATCTAAAGCAGTCATAGTTTAGTACATATAATTAAAATGTAAAAGCTATCAAGATTACATTATAAAATTTCCAAAAACGCCAAGCATTGTTTTAATAATAGCTGAGGACAGGGAATTCGGGGGGCTGGTCATCCTTAATTGCTCTAAAGGGTCAGCGCTAATTATTAGATATTGGTAGTTGAAGAAGCCCCCACCTGTTAGTCCTAAATTCACTGATAGGCTTTTATTGGAGTTTCCTGCCTAGGGCATATGGGTGTATTCTATCATTTGAATCTTAATAAAAGGGATGGCAAAGCCAAAACACGTCCTAAGTGCATACCACATATTAACTTAATCCTAACGACCAGGAGGCAAGTACCACATTTTATATCATCTTCATTGACAGATGAGAAAACAGCTGAGCAGTCAAGTAACTTGCCCAAGATTACAGTTAGCAAATGATAAGAGTTAGGATTTGAACCCAAGTTAGGTGGTTCTAGATTCCTCACTCTTGTTCTCTATAATGCTAAGAAAGGAGACAGAGTTACTATGGATAGGAATAGAACTTCAGATGCCTGAAGCAATAGAGAAAGAAGAAAAATATTCACGGTGTAGCATGGCATCAATGTCTCACAGTAACTCTGGGGGTAGGTATTTACTTTCATTGCAGAAATAAGAAATAGGCTCAAAACTTCGAGGAACTTGCCTACGGAGGAACAGCTGGCAGTAGAGCCAAATAGTACTCCAGGTCTAATGATTTTTAAGATTTTTTCTTTTTCAAGTTCTCAAGGAGGCGAGAAAAATCCCAACTTTCTCTGGTACACCCTTTGTTACTTGACGCTCATTTTTAAAGATAACGGTGGTGTGGCCCCCTCCCTCCACTTCCCCTTGCGGGTTGCTACCTGAGGCTCGCTCCCAAACAGGCTGTCAGGCCCATCCAATCTTTCAACCCATCTATACAGTCCCGTGCACTACTCTAAATCAATGAGTTCATCCAAGGTCATCATAGGTTTCTCTAGTTGCGAGATGAAAGCAGTTGTCTCTCCTTAAAGCAATTTCAAGCATCAGTGAACAAAGCTGGGTCTTGAGTTTATGTATGCAGAGGGCTTTTCAGAGCCCGCTGTCATCCATTTGTAAAGGGCCCAGTCTGTTGTCAGGCCAAACTCTGGAGAATTCTGGATGATCTGGGGATGGCCACTAACCCACAGGCGATTTGGGGAGTAAAGAAATCTAATCACTGGCCCTCCAATTGCCTTCCAGCACCTTCTGTGGAGGTGCCACCAAGTGGTGTAGGCACCTATCCAGCAGGGTGTGCCTTAGGACTAGAGAGGGAGGCCAGAGGTTTGAGGGCTGCAGGTGTATCTTCCAGGAGAAAAAAGCCAGTGGGGTCTGTTCTGTGTGTGCATGAAGGAAGAAGGTATGCTGGTCTCTCTCTGCTTTCATGTAGAGTAAGTGATGCAGACAGGAATGAATAATCATCTTCACATAGAAGAAAGGGGTGTTTCTGGTAAACTAATAGCCGGCTGGAGATGGAAGATGAAAAATACAATCTTCGTGTGGCAGGTTAAATGTAAGAAAGGAATTTCATGATACCATCTGACCCAAGTGGTCTGATGTCTGCCTGCAGGAGGCCAAGTTGAGGGACAGCGGTGAGGTTATCCTTGATCAGTCAATAAATGCAACAGAATATAACGAAGAGAATAACTTTACAAGAAAATGATAATCACAAAATTCTGAGAGGCAAGGGAGTGGAAAAGGAGGAGCATATAGGTAGATATGGTTGGTGGTGGTCTAGTTCTTGGTGTGGATGCTGGTTTTGTGGGTATCCATTATGGCTCAGAGCTTATCGATACTCTTTTATATGAGACTAAGAAACCTTCCTCCATGGCTAATCCTCCATGCTTCCTGAATGTTGTAGCCTACCCCTTCTTAGGAAAATGTACTCTGCACACATGAGCTGGCAGAAAAACATTATTGCTCATTTCCCAAACATACATGCCTTCCTCTGTCCTCCCCCTTCCATTTCTATGGCAAGAAAGATCTCCTTTCTCTTAAAACCCATGGGAAGGTATCTAGCCTGTGTGCTAGGCTCGTCTCCATTTGTCCCCCTATGCCCACTCCCCGCTCTTCTCTCTTTTGATCTGTGCCCCCAAACTGCATCTTCTGGTTCCCTTGCCCTCCAGTTTCTGGTTGGGTTTGGCCTGAGGGGAGGCATCAGCCAGTGAACAGAAGTTGGGTATTTATTCCCCAACTCTCATCCTGAGCATCCTGCTCTGCCTTTAAAGCCTCAGCTCCTGTCTGGTACCCCCTCTCCCATGGCACCAGCTCTCAGTGGGGAAGCAGTAACATCATCCCTTGTCCTGCCTCGTCAGGCCCTAGAGTGGTAGTGTGGTTGTTACAGAATTTACCTGGCAACCAGAAAATACACACACAGGAGTACTCAGAGATGCAGGAAAACCCCATTTATTTCCAGATGTACTAGTGCCGTGACTCAGGGGAGCCTGTTTCCAAATCCTGAGCAAACCAATATGGAGGAAACTTTCTTTTTGTACCCTTTGGTTTCTTTGTCCCTCATATTGTATATGGATCAGACTTGTGGACCCTTTGTGGGCTTTGCAAAAAGCCCCTTGGGTTGGGATGGGGGACATGAGACCACACCTAAAGGCCTGGCCTGGCGCCAGTGCTGATAACCCCTTCCAGGGCTGTGTATTGTTCATGGTTTATGGCCTCTGTAAAATGTGAGTATTTAGGTAAATAGGTATTGAGAGACTAGATAATTAAGGAAGGGGCAGTGACTTGATTATAAGCTAATACAAATGTGCATTAGTTATACTGACTAGGTACAGAGTCAGGATGCTGGTCTCCCCCCAAAAATGTCTTATTTTCTTTACCATGGTAACTGCTTCCCAGTGTTGCAATCCCCATATTCACCACTGACAATTAGTTGGCTTAGCTCATTCAGTATTTTCTTAGTTAAACTCTTTTAGTTAAATGATTTGAGTGTGCCATCTGCTTCCTGTGGATCCTCAGTGATACATCTGTCACTTGAGGATTCGCCTTCCTCTGGGCTCTCATACAGAGCTTAGAGTCTGGACCCCTCCTGTGCCATTTGTCATGTGTATGCCCCCTTACCACTGTGACCCATTTCCATCTAATATTTCCCATGTTTCCCAAACACATTGCAGACTTCTGTGGGTTGGGACTATTTGATACATCCTTTATATTCTCTTGGCATAGTGGCATGCCCAGTAAATGTTTGCCAATGATAATTATAAAAAAAATCACCTGATTTTATAAACAAAGTTTTCTGAATTTAAATGGCTTGTTTGATTTGGTACCACAGCATTTGGGGTGACTTACACTCAATAACTTTTTCGAGATGTTATAAAACTGACTGAGGCATGGGCTTTGGGACTTGAGGTTGGCCTCACAGCTGCATTGTTTTGCTTGCTTCCTGGTACTTGATGGCATTCTGTGTATTTGTGGCTGCTGGACAAAGGACTGGAAGTAAAATTGGGGGTTTCTGTTTTGGCGTCCTCCCTTGAAATCAACATTCTCTTCCTTCAAATTCTTTGCTGCATCATTACTGTAATCCTGGTCTGCAGGGACCAAAGGTTCTATTGCTGCCTAAGTCTAAAACTTGGTGCTG